TATATTGGAGAAAGAGACCAGCAGACAGCCAGCCCTGGCAGTGGTGTTGGAACAATTTTTTTACGGGGGTGGAGTGCTGAGAGCCATTGAACAAAACTGTAAACCCTGTATGTGATGGAAACCACTTCAAGCTAGGGGGTGTTGCTGCAGTCCCAGCACTCCTAGTTCGAACATCCCTGAGCCCTGGCTTACATGGGTTGTTTATTACTGCCATGGTTTCTAACCCCATGGTGTAACTAACAGCATTATAAAGGCTGTTGGCAGCCAGTGATCCATTGTTTATATTTAAAAGACATTTTTCAAAAAATCGTCTGTTGCTAACACTGGTTCAGCTCTACTAGCTGCTGCAGGCCTTTTAACAACAATGTTGTTAAGACCTGATCTGAGCAGGATTAGGTAAAACAATGATTAAATTGGTGACAACAGCCCTTGCCCACCCTACACTAGGACTCCCACTGTTGCTTAATTTTTGTGGGACTGAACTATTGTTAGCAATGATGGAAACATTTTAGGAAGTGTACTTGGAATAGACAGGGCTCACCATAGACCAAACTCAGCACATCATAACCATGTTTGGCATCACAGTACAAAAGCTCAGGGAACACTAGAGCCATGGTATGGGTCAGCAATGGAACTGGAAAAAAGATTACTACCAGCACTCCACTCTTTGTGGCTGCGTCTCTCAATAGGACCACAGAGTAGTTGAGAAGGTATCCGCTACACGGGCCCCTGTGACCACTTCCCATCGTGGTTCAGCGGACTGTTGAGTCGATCTCTGCTCCCACAATCTCTTAATGTGACTGGGTTTTTAAACAGCTCCCCATATCCCTCCAGCCACTGGTTTCTTCTCTCAGTGGGGCTCGGAAGAGGGTTGTTGAGCAGCTCTCCAATTCACACCATGCCCTCAACCGTCTTGCCACTAGAATAGGGGAATTTCCTCACCAGTCCTGATCCTTGCTATAGGATGGCTAGGTGACTATCACATTTAGGCCAGGTGTATACTGTAGATAGGGCCTTATGGAGGTAGGATGAGATGGTGCCCTTCCCTTAATCGGCATACTATCAAAACTGAGTTTTATTAATTCACATTTCTCAGCCTGTGTTCAGTCTCCTCTATTCTGAAAGGTTAAATTGTGTTTTAAGGATGTCAAGGGGACAATGGTGTTGCAAACATGTCCTAGCATGACTTTTCCTATGATAGAAATGACTCATTCTCATATATATATATATACAGAGAGAGAGAGAGAGAGAGAGAGAGAAACCTTGACTCTCATTTGCATGTGTCATTGGATGATGAAGTGTGAAAATGGAGGTGGGTTAAGAATATGTACTAAAACTACACTATAAGAAAGCATACACTGCACGGCTGAATCAGAAAATATAATGATTAGGGATCCATTACAGTTTTAACCACTGAAGAGGTGTAATTCAAATGATACTGTGGTGATTAGAGCTATATCATAGAATCATAGAATATAAGGGTTGGAAGGGACCCCAGAAGGTCATCTAGTCCAACCCCCTGCTCGAAGCAGGACCAATTCCCAGTTAAATCATCCCAGCCAGGGCTTTGTCAAGCCTGACCTTAAAAACCTCTAAGGAAGGAGATTCTACCACCTCCCTAGGTAACGCATTCCAGTGTTTCACCACCCTCTTAGTGAAAAAGTTTTTCCTAATATCCAATCTAAACCTCCCCCACTGCAGCTTGAGACCATTACTCCTCGTTCTGTCATCTGATACCATTGAGAACAGTCTAGAGCCATCCTCTTTGGAACCCCCTTTCAGGTAGTTGAAAGCAGCTATCAAATCCCCCCTCATTCTTCTCTTCTGCAGGCTAAACAATCCCAGCTCCCTCAGCCTCTCCTCATAACTCATGTGTTCCAGACCCCCAATCAATAGCTATGGGCTTGCCTACAAAGAAAAGTTATATTGGTATAAGCTGAGGTGTTAATTTAAACAGATACAATTATGGACACTTTTATTCTGGTATAAGAAGGGCTTTTTTCTGTTTACTTTGGAAGGAGTTTAAGCCAAACTGGAAACAAAAACCCTACTCTTATTCCAGAAAAAGTGTCCATATGAGGAGCTATACCAGCATAGCTATAGCAGTTTAACTACATGGGTATAATTGTACCTGTATAACTGGTAAAAAACTTTCCTTGTAGACAGGCCTCATTATATAGCTCCTTGTTTTCCTAAGCTCATAACCCTCTATATGTTTTTTCCTTTGGGAATGAAAACTTCAACATTGTACTCTCTTAGCAAATGCATGATTTTTTTTTCCCCTGGAAATTCAGTTTGACCATTTTTGAGTTACTTGGAAAATAAAAAAAACACTCCACTGATTTTTTTCATACATAATAATTACACAGTCACAAATCATAGAACTGGGCTTTTTGAAGTTTACACTTTATTGAACAATACAACAGGTAAAACATACCTGTTCATAGGAATGATCATATTGGGTCAGAGCAATGGTCCAGCTAGTCACGATCCCATCTCTGACAGGGACTAGTACAACTAGTCCAGAAGAAAGTGCAGGAAATCCCGTAATTGCAGAGAGGTTGCTGTCTTCCCTGGGAACAGATTAACGGTGAGTATCTTCACTGCAGAGTTAATTCAAGTTACTTCCCTTGCATTTACCTAGCTCAAGTGCAAGTGGCTACACTGTGAAAATAACACACTGCTGTATTCACACTAGTAATGCACTCATTCATGTATGGCACATCCAGGTGGATCCTACCATTATTCTTTCCACTGCAGTAAGTTGAGCAGCTCTATGTATTTTTTTTCCCACTCAGGAAACTGGGGGGAGACCTTATCTGTTCTTTCTGGGCACACAGGAGGAAATATGGGAAGGCATTGGAGGACTAGCAGCACTCAAACAGAGATAGCCTGGCTCCATGCTACAGAGCAGCGCTGTTAGCACCTGATAGATTGGCTGACCGATTGTGGGTATAGGGTAAAGCTAACATGAGCATAATCTAAATTAGATGCCAACACAAGACAAGAGATTGTGTGTGGGGATAGGACTCAAGTAAGTAGCAACGCTCAAATTTACATTAACTTTGAAGCCCTATAATGTAATGAACTTTTATAATTGATTTCAATGAATAAATGCTTTCAGGTGTCAACATTCAGAAATGTATTGATAAATCTATTTTACAGGCAGATGGGGTCACTCTACCCTTGGATTAGCAGACTGCCAGTTAACTCAAGGTAAAGGCTAGTGCTCACTTATGGGGCCCAGTGAGCATGTGAAGTGTCTACACTTGCTTTCACAAAGCAATTAGATACCACAAATTAACTGTCAACTAACTCTAGATAAAAGTCTAGTGAAGACTCCCTTACAGAGGCAGCATACCCTCTACCTTGGCTTCCCAGACAACCCCTCTTTAAATGAAGTGTTTGACTCATATCTGCAAATTGTCTCTTCCCATTACAGGGTCACAAAGTCTATGTTATTTGGCTAGGGCACAGCCCAAGGTGATATGCCATGAAATATGTATAATACGTATGTTCAGCTATATGTGACCATCCGCATAAGGAGCTCATTGCTGACAATGAGTGTTAGCAATTCTCTCCCCTGCCCTTCCCCACCCCCCAAAACTCTTCTTATTGGTACTGAAAGTGGTTTAAATTGCCACTGAAAGGAGTACAAGACTTTTAGCACCATTATGTGTAATAAGGACCTAGTAGAACAATATTTTGATGATGCTTGATGTAGTGGGAGAAAGCTATTTACAGTACCCATCTACAGCAGCAGTTAAACCATTTTCAATATCAGGTGAAGGGTGGGGACAAAGGAGAGACACTCATAGGCCCCATCTCCACTAGGGTTCAATGCCACTGATGTTAACATTAGCAGAAGACACTCAGCAAATGTTAAGAACAACATCAGCTAGTCCTATATGAAGCAAGTCTAATCAGTATTGTGTTCAAAACTGCCAGCAGCCAGTGGGATGTCTAGACCAGAGTTCCCAGGGCAAATACTGGTAGGCGAAGTTAAACCAGTGGGATGTTTTTGAACATTTTGCTAGCAGAGACAAGACCATTGCTTACTGTATCCAGCAGCAATGGGTCATTTTCCTAGTACAGGCCATACCTTCCTGTATCCTTAACAGCATCTCAGAATCCTCACTTGGACCAAGATTCTGTGGCTTTTGTATGGTAATTTGGCAAACAGTTGGAGGCAGACACCCCTTATAAGGAAGGTTGGGCCATGCATCATTGGAAAGGTATCAGAGTGGTAGCCGTGTTTGTTCTCTGTCAGCAAAAACAACGAGGAGTAGTTGTAGTACCTTAGAGACTAACAAATTTATTTGAAATAAGCTTTCGTGGGCTAAAACCCACTTCATCAGATACATGGAGTAGAAAATACAGTAGGAAGATAGATACATAGTACATGAAAAGATGGGGGTTGCCTTACCAACCCCCATCTTTTCGTGTACTCTGTCTGTGTGTGTGTGTGTGTGTGTGTGTAATTAATTATACACACACAAAGATGAGGGTTGGTAAGGCAACCCCCATCTTTTCATGTACTATGTATCTATCTTCCTACTGTATTTTCCACTCCATGCATCTGATGAAGTGGGTTTTAGCCCACGAAAACTTATGCCCAAATAAATTTGTTAGTCTCTAAGATGCCACCAGTACCCCTCGTTTTTTCTTCATTGGAAAGGTAGAATCCTCACAGATATTTAGTATTGATTTGACGTTGGCTTGAGCGGACAGTGTAGCCACTAAAATAAGCAAAAGGAAGTTGAGTCTGCAATTGTTAGAATTGGAACTTTGTTTACCCTTTGCCATTCCCACTTATGGATACCAAGAGCACAATTTCTTTCACAGCTGCTGGAGGAGCAATTATACCCCCAGAACAGAGAGAATTTTGAACTACAAAGGTCATTTTGTAGTGATAATTGTATTTATATACAGTGTCCAAAATTAGAGCTCAAACATTTGGAATTTAACTATAGTATGGAAAAAAGATTCAGACAAGCCACTTTAATAAACAGGCCAATTTTTATTGATTGTTAAGATCATATGTTTCTTCATGAAGTGCAAGATGCACCATGAAACCAAAATACAGGAAGTTGTGTTATTAAATACACATTGTTTAAGCAATGCTACTTTTTGGCAAAGTGCTGTATTTTGTTGTTGTTCAGCTTGTATCAAACTGCCTATTCAAACTAAGAGCCAGACAACCTTTGATATCAAAAGAACTGCTACAAGTAGAGAAAGTGGCTCCAGAAAGCAGCTGCCATATATGCATAGACTGATGTACAGTATTTATCTTAACTGAAATGTCCCTTTTGAATTTTCAAGTTTGCTGTGTACAAGTTAAACCTAGAAGGCACAGGTTTGTTTACAACACATCTGTCTATTGACCGATACATACGGAAACACAGTTTCAACAAAATTAATGAATCAGCATCTGAGACAGTGCAAGGCCTCCACTTTTACAACAAACAATATGTTTTACTACTGTTCAAAAACCGTATAAAAAGCCATACAACTCACACACTACTAGAGAACAACAACAAAAAAACTGCCCAAGAACTCCAGGCACAAAACAGAACTAGTAACATAAATATGCAAGACAAAATTAACAAAAAAAAAAGTCACTGATGAAGTACTGTATATATTTCATACAATATAGCATGGTTTCCAATATTAAGAATTGAGAGGCACAGCTTTTGTGCAACAAAAAAGTTTATATCCTGAAAGATATAGGATTTCATCACTAGAAAGTTATCCAGTAATATAGTATAAAAAAAAAAAAAAAAGATTAGTATCTCCCACTTTTTAGGAGCAGTCTAAAATTGCTTTTACTTGCCAACTGAAAAAAGGAGGCTCCAATTCTAATGCTTGGGAGCCATGCACTTCCCCTCCACTAAAAAATTAAAGGATTACAAAACCCTTTTAATTCTGAGAGGTGGAGATTCCATCTTCCTTCATTTAACTTTAGGAAAATTAAAGCTGAAGGAAAGCAGTTATTTAGGAAGAGAAAAATTAAAGCAAGGAGTCTCCTGAGCTGAAAAGTGTGTGTGTGTGTACACATATGTATGTGTGTGTGCGCGGGGAGGAGATGAAAGAAGGGCAGAGGAAAAGTGGAAATGAAAAGGTATCATACCGGAAGCAAAATTAAGATCTCCGTGAGCAAATGAGAGAGACTCTAGGAATACGAGATTGGTGAATCTACAAAATTATTCTTGGATAAATAATTGAGAGTTTCTAGCCCAGAGGAAAATATCACTGTGTATATATATGGATATGCATCACTAAAAAAAGAAGAGGTAAGAACACCAACAAAAATCATCTACATTCTGAACTGGCATTAAGCACTTAGACTCATACATAATCACTCAAAGCAAAACCTATGTTCCATATCTCTGGAAGTTTTAAAGAACAGGTTAGACTAAACAGCTTTCAGGAATGGTCTATAGATGTGATCCAGCCTAAGTGCAGGGGGCTAGACTAGATGACCTCCCAGCACTTCTAGGGATATATCCCAGTAAGATGACAGGAGTACACACAAAAGCAATGTAGATAGTGCTACATTTATAGATACACATGGCAGTTAAACTGCTAACTAAAACCAGAAAAAAATGGAGTATTTGAACAGAATTGGGGACCAGAAGGCTAACTGCTACAGGATTAGGAAGATTACGCTCCACAAGAGTTCAGCCTGCATATATTATATGCAGTGCTACTCATACTGCAAGATTACTACAAGGCATTAGGTTTTTGTATCAGCAAAATTGAAACATTTGGCCATATTTCAAAGAACATTTCATAGGTTTGAAATAATTCTTAAGCATTATTGGTCTCATCCAAACACAAAAATTAAAGCCACCCATATACACGTTTTATAGTGCTGAGGCTTTTCCACATGATTTCAGCTGGAAGACACTGTTGAATGTGACTAACATTTATATGCCTTAGCAGCAAATGCAGGAAAAGCAGTGATCACAGATGAAGCACTGGAAACAAAAGAGGAAGAGTAAAGCTTCACTAGTCTCCCCGCCCCGAACTCATTCCTTGATTTACTCAAATTTCCAAGAATTATCTATCATGGTTGATTTTGTAGTGTGGCTGTCTAGAAGAAGCTACACTATCAAATTTGGTAGCTTTGCCTTTCAAGGCATGCTTTCTTCCAGAAGATCATGCAAGATTTTAATATTTTTTGAAGAGGATGTTTAATGTTCTGTACTTTCCCCTCTCCCCCACTAGTCTATAAAATTAACATCAAGTAAGATATTTTTCTGCTTTTATGCCACATGAGCAATGAAATAGCCACTGTTAATGTAGCTCCTACATCTTCACTTTTATATACTCTCCTAGCACTGTTTAATTCTGGAAGACTAGTAGTGTTAGAATGTATTTATAATGTTATGCCTTTCATCACTTCCAGTCATGGCCACCTCAATTTTGTTCTCTCATTGGGAAAGAATTGGGAGGGGTGCAAGACCTCATCTGGAAATAGGTTTTCCATCCAGCAGTTTGTGAGCCATTCCTAATCTATCACTTGATCAATTCGAGGCAGTATCAGCAGCTCGGAAGCCCACCTGTACTCACCATCCACCAGAATAGGTTCTGCAGAAGGTGTTTCAGCTGCAGATGGACCTATTACAGAAGACAGTCAGTCTAGCCTTTTCTCCTTGGTTCAGACTACAGATAAACTAAACCAAGTTTTGGGAGGAATGTAATGGATGCATCCTCTCCCCAAAGGAAAAAGAAGAAAAAAAAAGGGGTGGGGGGGAAGAGAGCAAAGGTTGCATGATCTAAAATACTGATGGAATCTTTGGGTTAAGTGTCTATATTTAATAACCCATAGGTCTACTTTTCATTTCACTCCATATAAGGCATAAAGTTTGTCCCTCTCCAAATACCTGTAACATTTGTGCCACATCTTATTCCAGTATTATCAGGTGGACATTTTACTCTCTTCTGCTGCTTATATGAAGTACCTGACAACCGTAATTAAACTGGTTTGTTTAATGCAAGCAGATAATGTCTAATTTAGACAGAGGTGAAAGTAAGCTGGTACGCCCTGGTACGGTGTACCAGTAAGAGCCGGTGCGCTGTACCAGGACCAGCTTTCCCAGAGGGCAATTTAAAGCCCTGGGGTAGTGGCGGCAGGGCCCTGGAGCTCCAGCTGCCACTACTGCCCTGGGGCCCTTTAAATCCCCACCTGAGCCCTGCTGCCGAAGCCCTGGGGTAGCGGCGGTGGGGCTCAGGTGGAGATTTAAAGGGCCTGGGCAGTAGTGGCAGCTGGAGCCCCGGGGCCCTTTAAATCCCCGATGGAGCCCGGCCACCGCTACCCCAGGGCTTGGACAGCAGGGCTCAGGTGGGGATTTAAAGGGTTTGGGGCTCTGGCAGCTGCTACCACAGTGGAGCCCCAGGCCCTTTAAAGCTCTGCCAGAGCCCAGAGCCCCGGGGTAGCGGTGGCAGCCGGGAGACCCCAGGGCTCCTCAGTGATTTAAAGGGCCTGGGGCTCCATTGCGGTAGTGGCAGCTGGAGCCCTGGGCCCTTTAAATTCCCCTGAGCCCCGGGGCTCCCAGCCACCTCTGCAGCTGGTAGCTCAGGGGTGATTTAAAGGGCCTTGGGCTCCCAGCCGCCACTACCGCAGCTGGAGCCCTGGCCCTTTAAATCAAGATTTAAAGGGCCCGGGGACTTAAGGCCACGCCCCTTCCAGTTGAGGCCACGCCCCCTGCTCAGGACTCCGGCATACTGGTAAGTCCTCTAACTTACTTTCACCCCTGAATTTAGATTAAATCTAGAGTTATCCTTCTTTCAATAGGAGTTTAGTGACATCTACTCCAAATCCATTGGCAACTATAGCCTTTTAATGCTTATGTTAGAGTATAACTGTGTACACAGTATATACAGACATGCAAAGCTGTCAAAAGCACTAGTTATTAAAGTATATGGCTGACCCCAATAATTTTGTAACTTCATATGACTGAAGAATGCATGTTCCATCTTTGTTAGAATTTTCTTTAAAAAACCATCCTTACATCGTAGTAAAGTTAAAAACCACACTCACACACATTTCCAAGACACTGAAATATTCAAGATAACCATTTAGGACCTATAGCAAGGCATTTTTTGATACACTATATGTAAATGTGGTTTCAAACTAATGTAACACTAGTCACGATTGTGTTCAAATGATTGATGGTCAGCTTCAGATTGATCACACCTTCATTATCTACACATTAAAACAAGAGCAAGCTAAGAACAATTAACCAATAGGATTAAAACCTCAAAAGCTTTCAGTAATTGTACTGACGCTGGCAAGGCTGGTGAACAAACAATCCATTGTGCTTGATTTGCCGAGAGTGGCAATCCCTGGTAAGATTTTGGCGACGGAGACTGTTTCTGTTGAGATGGGGTCTTTCATTATGTTCTTTTATCCACTGAGTTGGACGAAAACTCTTGGTTTGTTCCAGAAAACTTGAGTGAGCGGCAAGAGTGGCAACGTAGCAATGAATATGCTGCCCCATTTCATTTCGCGCTTCCATTCTAAAATTTAACACACAAATGTTACGGTTACAGTTCAGCTAGCACTTTGAGATCTAGATAAGTTTATTAAAGGAATATATTTTCTTCTAGCTGAATGAATATAGATAGGCTTGGAAGGATTAGTTTTGTGTCAGTAAATGTCACTAAACATCAATTTCATCATGTGCGCACACACAAAAATATTTCTATCAATAATAGAAATGTACAGACAGGCAAAATAAGAAAAAGGCAAAATAAGAAAAATGCTGCTTGGAGAACTTAAGAGCCTGATTTCAGGATATTTACTGTTGACAATTTGTATTTTAATGGTTATAATGCTTTTACGTTTTGGATCTCAATGTGTAATGCCATTAAATTATTGTCTGACATCCCCACTGCCTGGCCCTTCCACCCCAATAATCTCCTGCAACTGGGAGAATTTAAATAGATAAAAATAAAAAAGTGCTAAAAATAAGCAGACATAATCCATCAAAGTTGTTTAAAAATAATCAAATTCTGCCAAGCTATAGATATAGATATTTATATAGATGTTTACACAAATCACTTCCACTAGGTGACCCTATCCTATCACACAAGGCATGAAGTTTTCTGATGTAGTTCTTTAGCACGTTTCAGGGAGTGAGTTGATAATAGGTCTGTTTCATCTACTCTCATCCTCTCTGTAAATGACTGTGCTATGTTGCCTTTTGTATTTCTGATTCAGTATTTAATCTTTTGGGCATAATGCACTTTCCAGCTTGCTATTATTCATGAACTAATGGCATAATGCCCAAAAGATCATATAATGTATTAAATACAGAAGGCAGCATGTATTTCACTATCCTCAGAAGAATTAGTAAATATTTACTAGATGTTATGGTTAAAGGTCATCTTGCACACAGATAGTTTAGGCTGTGTGAAAATAAAGGGCACTAATAAAAGATTGTTTGGGTTGCCAGCCATGCAGGAAAATCCAAACATGGTGTTCATGCATAAGACCTGGAAAGTTAGACCACTTAAGCCACTCAAGTCAGACCAGCTGTGTGAAATGCCATGGGTAACTGATATTAAAGATCTTTCTTCAGCCTGTCCTTTTGATTCCCTCATGCCACTCAAAGTCAGACTGCTGTAAAGACATCCCATCACACAGTATGAGGCATAACCAACCTATGTAAAGGTAAAATGTTTCTTCCCTCCAACCCCCACAGCCTGATGTATGGTGTTTGAGGGTTGTTGTTAAGTTTTGTAACATAAGAGCTTTCCAGAGCCAATACAAATTTTTAAAAACTTCCACAAACCTCTCCATCGAGGTGGCATGATAGTTGTGACATTACGTGTATAGCAGATGCTTTTATGGGACACGAAGTGGTAGTATGCAACTTTACCACCACCCTTTTTGGATGACTCTTATAGTTCAGGGCACAGAGATGGGGCCCTCAGGGAGTCAGTTAAGCAAATTCAGCCCTAGCATGTCTCTGTTTCCATGAGTGGAAGAACCTTACACTGTATAGTAAAATCTGTAGAGCAGAACATCCTGCTATGCCCCTGGTCTGCCTACTGCGCTCCATGCGGTCAGAGCATGTGCATGTGTACAGCTGGTACTGGAGCAGACTCCCCTGCTTCCCTGGGCTTCCGACCAGCAAAGCGTTGCAGCCAAAACACCTTCACTTTGTGCCAGCAGAGCAGCACTAAATGAATGGATTGAAGGATATGGGCCCAAGATGAATTATGCACTGAATGCCTATCCCAGAGTTACCTCCCTTTACAGATTATTACACTGACAGACAAGAGCCAGTCAGTATAATGTCCAAGTTGACATTCTGCCCTTCACTGACCCTAGTCATTTCACACTGGAATTGCTCTTATTTTTTCCTTTTATGCAGATCAACTGAACTTGCATGTCGGCTCCTGTAATTATGGCTCTACCACTGGCTACACGTGATACATTAACATGTTCTTAGAAAAAACATGTCAGAGCTGAAACTCTGAATGAAGAAAGTAATAAGGGAACTTCTGGAACAAGCACAGTTATGGTAGCAAAATACAACCACTACAACAATAAAACCATAATAGATCGGGCATTAGTAAACTAATTGTGTATGTCTTGAGCATGTTTTTGACTCATGTTATCAGCCAGAGAAGTACATCAATATCTAATACGTACATGGATTTCATATTGTCCATAACAATAAGCCACAGTGTATGTATTAGTGAGCTACTGATGTACTTTGAGACCTAGCCACCCACCCGCCTTGCCTGGGCTTCTGATGGAAGGGGAATGTAAACATAGTGGGAGATGGAGTCAGCTGACCTGGGCTCCGAGACTCACGTGAGTGTTTTTTTGCAGTGGAGATGTACCCCCAGTGACTTCACTGTTTGCACATAAAAGCTAGAAAGATTGGAACCCTAAAGATTCTTAACTGCTAAGTACAGAAGAAAATGTTGATTAGCAGTATGTTTTGCTTGTTATAGCAGAATTAGAACTGACCAAGTAACTTAAATTGACACTGAGGTTAGTCTTAAAACTGGTACAGTTTTGATATACAAGTCTATTTACAAAGCAGACCAATCAAACAAAAAGTACTGTCCCAAAGCAGTAGTACTTACTGTGCCAGTGTGCCTTAAGCAGCTTTTCCTGGCCCTACAATGTTAAATGGCCAACCATTAAACAACTAGAGACTTCAAGACAACAACATTTTACTGTATTGTCAGCTTAGTTGAACAATTATTATATCTTCTCTCAGTTACTGTTATTTCATCTCAACTTTAACCTTTTAGAGCAAGCCAGTTACAATTTTGTTCTCCAAAATAATTATCTTGTACATGAAATGATGGACAAAATATTTAGCCAAGATCCTCAAAAGGCATTTAGATTCCTAATTCCCATTAATTTCACTGAGTCTTAGTATTTAATAGCGATACTTGGGCCACATCCCCAGCTGAATGCACAGCTCTATTGAATTCAGAGGGATGCTGCTGATTTATATCAAGTGAGTATCTGGCCCTTTAATTTAATTACATATTTAAGTAGTGCTGCATTAATAAGAGGTACAAGATATAGTTCTGGAATGGCTTATACCAGCATCCCTAAATTATACAAAGCCATCGCAATAATTCAGTAGCTGAATTTGAGGAAAGGGGAAGGCAACAGATCCATCTACTCTTGAATGACACAATTCTCACTCAAATTTCACCATCTCCATTTTGCAACCATTTCTGTTAAATTGCTGCTACTGACTGTAGGGTCTTATAAACGAGTCTGTTCGGTTTTGATTATACTATGCCCATCCCCATGGTATTAGAGCACCTTACAGTTGTAACAGATTTCTTCAGAGCCCAATTTTCAGAGATGCTGGGTACCCACAGCTCCCACTGACTTCAGCCAGAGCTATGGTGCTCAGGATCTCCCAAAGAAACAGACCCTTGGTACCAAGAACACAGAGTTTCAGTGTCAGTTCCATGCTTGTTAGACACTGGCTTAGGTCGCTTTACAAAAATCACCCATTTTCTTTAAAGTGTTGCAAACCAAGAAACTACAGGTATGGGAGCTAGGCTGCCATTGAAGTCAGTGGTAATTACTTGCACATTGCTACACGCAGAACCAAACTCACCATAAGATGATCCTTGTTTATTCTTATTACAGAGGATGAATGCTAGAAGCTGGCCAAATTTCTCCAGTCCTTCTGAACAAGGGCCCCAGAAATTACATTAGTATTTCTCAGAACTTGAACATATGGGAAAAATGTGTGGGGACATACAGGAAACATTTTTGCTATATCAACAATAGCTTCTGCTACCAGGCAAATATTGCATGATAGGTTTGAGTCTGTGGTCATTCTGCATGGTTACCTCCTTTGGATTCAGATCCTAGTGCAAGAATAATTTCTGACTTTAACAAGAGAAAATAAATTGTTTATTGGTGGCCTTCCCAATTCGCAGGGTCCCAGAGCTTGGGCTGAGCCCAAATGTCTACACGGCAGTTGAATAGCCCCTTAGCCTGAGCCCCATGAGCCTGATTCTACTGGCAGAGGCCAGTCATGGGTTTTTAACTGCAAAGTCGGCATACCCCCAGACTTCCTGTGACCTGAACCTTGGATAAAGATCACATTTTCCCCCCACTTGGGTTCCTAGTCTCTGCAATTGAGTTAGTATTTCTCCCACCTCAAAGGGTGGTTGTGAGGACATCATTAATGTTTGAGAGGCACTTTAGATACTACAGGGGTGGGCACAATTACCTTTTATCATTTTTATTGCTCTCATCTGGTTTAGAAATCCTGATCTATGAGGAAAAGTTAAAAAACTGGGCATGTTTAGTCTTGAGAAAAGATGACTGAGGGGAGATCTTTATCACTCTCCTCTTCAGAACAGCACTTAAGAGGAGGTAAGGAGGGTGTAAGGAGGGTGAAGACACGTTGTTCTCCGTGTCCACTGAAGGTAGGACAAAAAGTAATGGGCTTAACCTAAATTTTCCTTGCTGCAGATTAAGTATTAGAAATTTTTCCTAACGATAAAGGATAGTTAAACACTGGACTAGGTTTCCAAGAGAGGTTGTGAAATCCCCATCATTGGAGATTTTTAAGATGTTAGACAAACACCTTTCAGAGATAGTCTAGGTATTCTTGGTCCTGCTTCAGCAAAGGGAACTAGATTAGATGACTTCTGGAGGTCCCTTGCATGCCTACATTTCTAGGAAGCACCTAGATCGGATAAAGAACGACGAGTACTTTTGGCACCTTAGAGACTAACAAATTTATTAGGGCATAAGCTTTCGTGGGCTAAAATCCACTTCATCGGATGCATGCAGTGGAAAATAGAGTAGGAAGATACACACACACACACACAGAGAAAAAAATCGGGGTTGCCATACCAACTCTAACGAGAATCATCAATTAAGATGGGTTATTATCAGCAGGAGGAAAAAAAAACTTTGGTAGCAATAATCAGGATGGCCCATTTCAAACAGCTGACAAGGAGGTGTGAGTAACAGTAGGGGGAAAATTAGCATGGGGAAATAGTTTTTAGTTTGTGTAATGACTCATCCACTCCCAGTCTTTATTCAAGCCTAATTTAATGGTGTCCAGTTTGCAAATTAATTCCAATTCTGCAATTTCTTGTTGGAGTCTGTTTTTTAAGTTTTGTTGTTGAAGGATTGTGACTTTTAGGTCTGTAATTGAGCGTCCAGGGAGGTTGAAGTGTTCTCTGACTGGTTTTTGAATGTTACAATCCTTGACGTCTGATTTGTGTCCATTTATTCTTTTGTGTAGAGACTGTCCAGTTTGGCCAATGTACATGGCAGAGGGGCATTGCTGGCACATGATGGCATTTATCACATTGGTAGATGTGCAGGTGAACAAGCCTCTGATAGTGTGGCTGATGTGATTAGGATCTAAATTTGTTAGTCTCTAAGGTACCACAAGTACTCCTCGTTCTTTTTGCTAATACAAACTAACACGGCTACCACTCTGAAACCTAGATAGGATAGTCTATTGTATCAGTTGTGCGAGTAACTTCATCTGACTTCAACAGAAATGGAGTGTACAACTAATGGGATAATTAGGCCCCAGAAGTATTAATTACAATGCCAAGACCGGACATCTGATTATTCACTCCCAGCATGGCCACCATGTACAAGAGTTTTAAAATCAGGCATAAAGCTATGATCAGCTTATCTTAAAATGTTGCAGTATTTGTGCTTTGTTCATTTTCTTAAAACTGAAGCTTCTAATTAATTCTTCAGGCATTTGGGCTTAGCAAGTTGTAACCAGGTATTTTTCTGTACTCTTTTGCACTCGGCAGTAATTCATGACTTATGTATTTACATCATATTGCCAACAGAAAAATAAAAGAGACTTACCTTGGACTACTTGGATTATGAAACTCCTCATCTCCACAGCTAGTCTCATTTAGACTGTGACAGGTATTATGGACAGCATATACAGACATGCTGGGATGTTCAATTAGAAGATTCTCCATAGGACTGGTTTCCACCTTGATAGTGGTTAATCCACCTGCAGTAAAACATGGGGGAGGGGTAATAAACCAGCTCTCCTCCATGGGACATGAGTCAAACTGGATGAAGCAAGACTCGCTGGCATCAGCCAAACACTCTAAGGAAGTTGGTAAACAAGAAAAGACTGGGGAGTGGTCAGCAGCTGATGTTTCACTGATGTCTGCTTCTTCTGTTGAAAAGTTAGTGCAAGTGTCTAGTGGAGGTTGTCCATTGTTCCAGTTGCCACAGTTGAGATGAAGTCACAACAGATAGGTGATTGCAGGAGATGGAGATCAGCAAGTTCATGTGCAGCAAGTAGAGAATAAAAACAAACAAAAGGTCTACCATCAGCATGTACACAGACACTTTACAAACAAACAAATAAAAGGGAGGAAACGTTTTCCCAAGTCAGATATAAAAATCAAGAGTATTGCCAGAAAAGTGATACAATTGTGTAATACAGATTGCTCAGTGTTAAATAAATACTATCCGTACAAGTAGTTCTACTATGGTCTGAACTTGTTAGTCTTATGAAACTGACGTCAGTTTCCCTAGTCAGTTTACACAAGATGCTTTGTGGTTCATTGTTTTACACAAATCCACCTTATTTACACTTAGGCTAAAAATTCCTTTGGAGCTATTGGCTTCCTTATACAGAAGTATGATACATATAACTGCCTGCTTCCTGCTGTAGAGGTTATATTTAACAGACATCTTACCTATAAAGTCAACCAGAATCCATTCATCATCTTCTTTTTCACTGAACTCTGGCTCTTGGCTGGACAAGTTATTGATCTCTCCCACAAACATATTATTCAGCCTCTGGAACATTACTAAGGCAAGAATGAGACTTTGGCTAGTAAGTCTTTGTATCCAAAAATTCAAGACACGGGCTCACACTTATACTAGCAAACTGGCAGAGATATGAGAATAAAGTGCATAGATGCTTTATCAGCTTACGTATGGAACATGGAGAGTCATGATTTGTAAACAGTTTATACAAAACCTGCAAAGAAGAAAAGAGTGGTCTTAATGCTAAAGCAATTAATCTATTTGTAAATAACAAGTAAGAACTCAGATAGGGCCAATTCTTGACTGCAGGTTTTGGGCAATAGCCTACATCAGTGGTTTTCAAACTTTTTTTCTGGGGACCCAGCTGAAGAAAACTGTTGATGCCCACAACCCAATGGAGCTGGCGATGAGGGGCTTGGATGTGGGAGGAGCTCAGGGCTGAGGCAGAGGGTTTTGGGGCAGGGGTGAGGGCTGCAGGGTGGGGCTGGGAATGAGGGGTTCAGGGTGGGAGAGGGGGCTGGGGCAGGGGTGCGAGAGGGGGTCAGGACTCTGGGCTGGGGGTGCAGGCTCTGGGGTGGGGCCAGGGATGAAGGGTTTGGGTTGGGCTCAGGCAGAGGGTTGGGGTGCAGGAGGGAGTCAGGGCTGGGCTCAGGGATGAAGGGTTTGGGGTGCAGGAGGGGGCTCCAGGTTTGGGGAGTGCTCAGGGCTGGTACAGAGGGTTGTGATGCGGGAGGGGGTCAGGGCTCTGGGGGGTGCAGGTGGGACTGGGGATGAGGGGTTTGGGATCCAGGAAAGGGTTCCGGGTTTGGGGGTCTCAGGGCTGGGGCAGGGGCGCGGGCTTACCTCACCTCAGGCGGCTCCCGGTCAGCGGTGCAGCCGGGGTGCTAAGGCAGGCTTCTGGCCTGTCCTGACACCGTGGACTGTGCTGCACCCCAGAAGCGGCCAGGAGCAGGTCCGGCTCCTAGACGGAGGCAAACAAGCAGCTCCGTGCGGCTCTCGCCCTCAGGCACCACCCCTCCCAGCTCCCATTGGCCGGTAGTGTGGAGCTAGTGCTCGGGGCGGGGGCAGCGCACAGAGCCCTGTGGCTCCCCTGCCTAGAAGCCGGAACCACAGCATGGTGTCGGAACAGGTAGGCACTAGCCTGCCTTAGCTGGGCAGCACTGCTGACGGGTGCTGACCAGAGCTCCTAGGGTTCCTGGGTGCTGAGCAAGGCGACCCAGTGCCTTACATGCTGCAACCCAGTACTGGGTCGCGACCCGAACTTTGAAAAACACTGACCTACATGACTCAAAGTATTTGCCATGAGGCGATATCACACTTTTTCATTGGCCCATAGCATCCCCTGCCAACAAGTTGAACCACAGGAAGAGGCCTGATGGAGGAAAGACCCAGCAAGGCTCTCTTCACAGGGTTGCCTAAAGCCCTCCATCTGGATTCTGCCCCACAGGCAAAGGTCTGCATAGCTCCTGGTCCCATCCCCACAGATCTGTAGGAATGTGGGAGAGGTAAGGGCCATCTATGCAGAGACCCTGAGCTCTAGAATTCCTGGGATCTTCCGGCCAGAGTGGCTCCAAAAAAGTGATGTTACTTATGACTTCCCCTGGGAACCTTTCCTCCTTCTGCATAAATGGAGGGTGGGAGGGAGGGATTCTACAGAAGAATTGATACAGTCTGAAGCTGTATTACCTAAGTATAGCTAGAACGCAAATTCAGTGAAAACACGGTCACGGCAATGGATCCCAAAATAGAACTCAGTCAAACGCGGTCATTTTATTTCATTTTGTTAGAACGCGGTCTCTGCTATAACGCGGGACTTGGCATGGATCCCAAATCCTGTGTTCTAGCGAGGGTCTGCTGTAGTCCATGTTGCGGGGGAGGGGAGAGGATTGTAATCCCATGTACATGCACCAGTCCTGCAGAGAGCCCTCAGCAGGGTCCCATTGATGTAGAATGTAGGTAGCTGACCCTCTATGCATTGGGCAGAAAAGGCACACCCCACAGAGCACCACCATTCTTGTGCAGTTCAGGGGCTCTGCTTGAACGTGAAACACATTACAGAGGAAAACATAATCAGGTTCAAAGGTGCACTAGCATGGTTATTAAGTGGGATCCTTTTCATAGTGATTAGTTAAATACTATGTGTTCTGTGAGGTTCTACAGAATTAATGCAAATACGGGCTGCACCACCACAATTTGAGAATAAAGTCGCTTCCTTACATTTCATGACAAGCAACATTAATTTCTCAACAGAACACACTTCCCTAAATGTATATTTAAAGAGATTATCAGTTTCAGACTGGACTATATATATATTTTGTGGGTGAAGCTGAAAAAACCATTAGCCATTTAACAATTAAAAAAAAAAAATGTTCAAGTTCCTGGGATCACCACAACTTCACATGAGAGCACCTGTTGCAGTCACTATATTTGAATCATTAACATAGTTCAAATGATGGTGTCAAAATGCTACACTTTAACAGTAATGTTCAGGTATTTAAACTATAGTCTTATTTTAAGCACCTTTAGCTATATTTCCACCTATTAAGTTAATTATTAGAATGTGTGTGTAAACACAGTATATCACTTACACAATCTCTCCTCTCTTCCTGGAACTAGTCTATGTTTATGACAGACTAGGTAAATTAGAGACATTTACATAAAAGGTATGAATTGCTATACTCAGAAAGCTTGTGAGAGCGCAAGATAAATTATACTAGAGAAGACATTCAAAACAATTGTTCAAAGCAAAACCAAGTATATACGCTTAATTTCTAACAAGTAAATATTGATTAAGGGAGATTATGTTTACAGAACATGAATTCTAAGTTTCTCCGTTAATGTACTGTATTGTAACTCTTGGACCAAAGATGCATTTGCACTGGATACCAGAAAATTAAAAAAAGAAAAAGGAGACTTTTGCTAGTTACTTCTGTTTATCATTGGAGTGTCTCTCCTGTTTGTTAACCCACCTAGGAACTGGTTTACATTCTGACATTGGGATCCAATACTATTTGTGCCTCTAAATTTATTGTACTTCTGCAGCATATGGGATGTCAGCCAGAGGCTGAAAAATAAGAGTTTTAATCAATAACTATTGTAACCCTAGATAATTAAGCTGTCAATGGTTCCTATTAATATAGCTGGGGGTAGCATAAACTGGGGTTGGTGCTTTTTGGTTTGCTATACAGCTGTAAGTGTGTTTACTGGGTAGGCTATGTGGTATAATAGGGATTATAGTAGTTGACAGAGTTGTGTGTGAAATGACAGCAACATATTTTCTGGCCAATTCTTGTCTGTAAGAACGTGGTTCCTAAACTTTTATCCCAATGCTAAACCCACTAACAGTGTCATTGCTCAACAGTATCTTGGCAACCACCAGGAGGCTCCAAAAAAGCAAGTTTTAATCAAAGCTGAAAGAGGTACAGTTAGATGTTAACCATGCCCAGATCAGACCTGCAAACGTACGGGTGTGGGGCGCAGGCACTGCACACCTGACACTTACATGCATACATCACCTGTGAACAACTGGGTAGTAAAGGGGGAGACAAAGCTACGGTTCTGCCCAATATGCATTGACCAGCGGAGCTGACAGGCTGCAGTCTGTACCACAAAAAGGGAAGAAACTTAACTACACTCCACCCTCACCTTCCAAGCAAGAGGGGAGCCCAGAGAAGAAGAGTTCCTCCTTAGAGGGGGAAGCTCAAATGAAGCCTGTTTCTCTAGGTTTCAGAGTAACAGCCGTGTTAGTCTGTATTCGCAAAAAGAAAAGGAGGACTTGTGGCACCTTAGAGACTAACCAATTTATTTATATATGCATTCGATGAAGTGAGCTGTAGCTCACGAAAGCTTATGCTCAAATAAATTGGTTAGTCTCTAAGGTGCCACAAGTACTCCTTTTCTTTTTGTTTCTCTAGGGTGAGGCTAACAGTCCGCTCCTAAGCGAGCTGAACGTTTAACCATTATGCTTTAATGGTTAATTGGCTTCCACCACTTTTACCTCACTCAAACATCATACTGGAGGGGTGCCAGTTGTCATGCCTGACAGAGGATTGTGATTTCAGGTGGAAAGTCCCCAGCAGGTACAGATTAATTCTCCAGACACAAAGAGCTTGCTTTGGGGCAAACAACAACAACGAGGAAGGTGGGGCCAGGCTGCTTCTAAGGAGAGTTTTTCTCCAGGTCCCTAGCCACCCAGGTCAGGCACCTCCCCAATGAGGACCCAGCCCTTGGTTTGGATGACCTGACCTTGCAATCCGCTGTCCTCTCGCCTGTGGCTGAGTCACATCCTCTGGTTTGTTTTGATCGCTAGAAGCCCCCCTCTACTAGGGCGGTGCCTGCAGGAAGGCTGGGTTTAGTCACACCTGACTAGAGCGCAAGCAAACACTGCCCTGGAAGCAGGGGCGGGGGGAAGGCCCCTCCGCAACCAAGAAAACAGGCCCCGTACTGGCAGGAAGAGGCAACCCGACACCCCTCCAGCCCCTGGGCGGGCCGGCTGCCCCGAACTCCTCCTCCCCGCGAGTGAGCCTGGGGGGCGGAGGGAAGAGACAAAAGGGTCAAACTGGGAACGCAGCTACTTCGGAGTCTGCGAAGAGGAAGTTCAGAGAACAAACAAACAAGCAGATCGGAGCCTGCCCACAGCGAGTCCGGGGCTCCCGCCTCCTCGGGGCAGAATTCAGCCCGGCGGCGCCCCAACTCCACCGTGCGCGGGATCTCCCAGCGAGGGAGCGGAGGCGCGCGGGCAATCCGCGCAGAGAGTGGGGCAGCGCGTACCAAGAGCTGGTACCACTCCTCCGCACTCGAGTGGGGAGGCAACCACGCAGCTCTCTGTCCGAGGCATTTAAGGACACCACTGCTCCCGGCGACGAGTCACACAGTACAGGGGCAGTGCGCATCCCCCCACCCCCCCGAGGCAAAGGGACTCCCCCAGTTAGGCTGCTTAGGGCGGCGTGTGCTCACACGCACTCCATAGGGAAAGACCCTCCCATAAAAACGATACAAGCCTCTGGATTTTGAAATGTGCCGAGCACCTGCAAGTTCCCGT